TGCTTCTAACTAGCAGTACTCACAACTGATGAAAGTATTCAGAATTCACAGAAAGGTTAAAATCTACAGATTGAATTGAAATGGTGATTGATGGTTTATATCTAGTCATTACGGCTCCTCAATTTGATCCCATGGGACGAACGGGACAAAGGGGATGATTATAGTGTTCTGAATTCATAGAATAGGTTCATAGGTCCCAGCCTGTGATTGTTGAACTATGTACTTTTCTTGCGCAACGACACATAGTGCTCTTTGATACTATTTAGGTAAATAAAAACATATGGCTGTGATAGACTGCAAAACAGTCCGTATTTTTGCGTATTCAAGTACGCGCGAGCAGTCAAACAAAAGGTCTGGAAGGAAGCTGAAAACAGAGAGCGAGACTGAGGAGAGGCTCGCGCGCAAGACTAGCTCTTAAGCCACACTTTACCGATTTCTTTACTGATTTTGAGAAAAAAACCGACTGTTTTGCAGTCTAGGCTGTGAAGAAAGCGCAGAAAAGAAACGCAGAAATACAAGTGATAAGGCAATACATATGAGATGGTAAAAAGCGGAATGTCTCTAGAGAAAAATGAGAGAGAGTGAGGTGAGCTTCGTATTGTTGAAGACAAAATGTCGAGCAAATATCAAAAGTTGGATGTCAAAAACAATTAAACTAAAATCAACCAATTCTTCATACACCGTTTTTTTAAGTTGCACTTAGTTATGGGGAAAAACCTCTTCGTTTTTTTTTTTTTGCCAGAGTTCCAGCAGGTTTTCGATAGCTTGGCTTTCCAGAGTTTTTTTTTAAGTTCCTTAACGCTCGGCTCAAAAACTTACTTGCAAAACACGACATATCGCAAACACGATATATGCTCGAATAACACCCCTTGAAATACAAACAGATCCCCTGGGTATTTCCACTAAGTCCACTAATAACAGACATAGTGGCCTTATGCTAAACATCTCTATTAAGCCATTTGGTTCGGCGGAAAATGAAGAGTGCGGAGTGTGGTAAAAACTTAAAAAAAGTATGTGATAGATTCTTTGGAAGATGATTTAATGCAATGTAATTTAATTTGAATATCAATAAAGAAGAATTGCGATGAATCAAGTAAATGAAAGCAAGCACTCCGCATTATTTGATTTTTCGTACTAGGTTTTTTATTCGATTTTTATCGCGCTGAATGGATTTGAGCGCTAGACTGAAATAGACTATTTGATATTTATTATAATTATTATTATGATTATTACTATTATTATGATGATGATGATTATGATTATGATTATAATTATTTTATTGTGGAATCTCAGGTTTGAAAGGTTTTCATTGCCTGGTAAATTACCCATGGGGCAAGCAACAAGAAGTTCCTAAAGGTCCCAAAGGAGCCCTTAAGTTTGAGTATCTAAATAGACAAAACTTTCCGCAATGGTCCAACTGTTCCCAACAAAGTCGTTTGCTGGATCATTTCAAGTCTGTTGGTAACGTTAAGCTTTTCCCCGTATTTCTCAAACGTAACGGCTCCCAATGCCCCAATCAAGTACAATTAACTCAGCTGTCACTTGGTTCAGCTTCCACAACATTAACTTTTCTATCTCTTCTCGAAGAAATTGGCACTCCTCTATTTTCTCCAGTTCTTTGCCTTTATTATTATTATCATTATTATTGTTATTATTTTATTATTATTATTATTATTATTAACAATGCAGTGCGTTAAAAAGAAAAATATCTCAACTTGATCAAAGAAATGAGTAGAAATTACAGATGTGTGAAATTTGTAAATCTCTCTATGAGCTCCCCGGCATGGCGTTTTCTCCAATGAATGCTCCACGTTCTTAGACATGATGAATGACATTTCATTGACAAAAAGCAGCAATTTTAATATAATCAAGGAAATGATAAATATAGCCAATAAAGCAACATATTACATCTTTTGTTGTGCAAATAGGAATTGGGATAGCTCAGACTTTCTTTTCTTTTCTTCTTCTTCTTCTTCTCTTTTCTATAATTCCAAGCAGCATTTGTAAATTGCCTATACGTAGCGAGATTTACAATTGTACTTTCAAAATAAGGTTTCCATTATTATTATTATTATTATTATTATTATTATTATTATTCAAATAAACTAAATATAAAAGAACAGTATAAAAAAGGTAACATGAAAATAAAATGACATTAAACAGAAATTAAAAATAAAGCGGATGAGAGAAAGAGAAATATCGAAGACGTATCGGGCTACCTGTATTTTTTCGAAGTTTTAAATTGTTTTAAATTAATTCTTCGAAAACGACTGAACCTGTTTGTTACAAAATGATATTAATCCTTAAACGGTTTCTTTGTAAAGGGAGCCTAGCTCTAAAAGGAAATTGTTTACATATTAGTTTCTAATAAGGGAAAGATAAGAATTCAACCGTTCATTTTGAGAATCAGCTTCCGTTTGCAACAACAACGACGAATAGGCAGTAAAGTATAGTAGTAATACTAACAAGGCAAGTGATTAATACAGTGAAGACTACGTGTTAACGTCACAAACATTCAAATTTGTGACAATATAGAATGGACACATTCAGAAAAACAAGATCAAAAATTAAAGACCCTTGCCATAAATCAGCCCGTCAGTGTAAATAGGAGGAAGAAAAATGTACCGTTATGCTGTGATGACTCCGTATAAATCCTTCTAAAATTGGCTGGATCATAAAGAACGACCTTGGTCCACTCTAGAAGGATATGATGGAGTCATCGGAGCATAAAGGCGATGTTACACGTGACGATTCGCAACGACGATTTTGAGCGGAACACAGCGTAGCAATGTTGGAACAATGTTGCAACCATTCGAAACAATGTCGCAACAATGCTGTAATGCTGCACTGAGCTAAAAATCGTCGCTGCGAATCGGCCGGTGTAACATCACCTTAAAGGTGCTTATACCTCCCCACCAATTTACACTAACAGGTTGACTTTCAGCCAGTGAACATTATTGATCTTGTTCTTTCTGGATATGTCATCCAATTATAACCCCAAAATTTCGCAATTTTAATTTTTGTGACTTCATCACTTCCCTTTTCTAAAAAAATGAGCCATCCAACAGTTCACGAGCATTTTAAACTTTGTTGAGGATAAACAGCGCTTGAGGGTTTGGATAATCAGAGAACTGCATCCCATCCACCAACATAGCCCTGCCCGTGCCATCACATCCCAAAAATGTTGTGTTGTCCACCGTGTACCGGAAAAAGGTATAACTCCAGTAGTAATCAATTGTGAAGCGAGAATTGGCTGGATATTTTCCAGATGAATATGGCTGAAATTTATGCAGAGAAATAAAATCAGGTTGATACCTCATACTTTAAATTGGCTGAATCAGTTGAAAAAAAAAACTTTAAAAGTCTCTGTACAAGGATATTAAACGAAGCCTGAATGCACGCTTCCGCCTCTTTCTGGAGCCTCTCGCTTTTTTAAGGACCTATGAAAGCATGTAAACAGTAGGCCCATTGGAATTTCGACTGTCTCCAGAGTCCGGTCTCTTTTAATTAGGGGCATGATTGCGGGCTCATTTTCTCGAGCATCCGCTGGCAACCTGCGAAGTTATTTTCCGCATTTCTTGATTGAACTTCCGGACGGGGGGTCAAATCGGGTCTAACAACCTTATGCCCTATACATGGGCCAACGGTACACCCTAAGGTCATGTGAGCTTCCCGTGATCGTAGGTAAAGAGAAACTTAAACAGTCCAGAATCAGGGTAAATGGCACGTCCTAAGTAAGGGCAGAGGGTGGCCGGAGAGGGTAGAAATATCACACCAGTAAAAAATAGTAGAAAGAGAGGTACTAAGTTAGCTAAAGTGAGGAAAATGCCAAAAAGCAAAGAGGGCTAATTAATCATTGAAAGGGAGTACAACCTTTAAAGAAATGCATCATACATGATTGCAAGCACATTGAATTATGATGACAAATTACTTTACCAAAACGTTGATGGCGTTCTGCGTTGTGTCTACAGTAAGGGCGTATAGTTGACCGCTGTTGTTGAAGAGAAGACTGACTTCGTTCCCTTTCATATAAATCGCACTGGTGGTAACAGTCGATAAACCCTGTCCACCTTGACACAACAGAACAAAACATAAAGTTATATTCGAAACAGGAAATAAGTTGCAGAGAAGGGATCGGGGATATCATTTGAGAATGAGTAGCTTAAATTTAAGCAATAGATCACACTTTCTAAGGGTTTACCGGCTTGATAAACCTCGAACAAAATCACACATTTCTGTAAAATACCACTAACTAAAGATTATATTTTTTGGGGTCGGAACAATTCAAATTTCAACGTATTCTAATTCTGCGGTATCTATTCTATATCTATCTACAAAGTGCCTGCTTTGATATGTTGTCCTGCTGAGTATATCAAACGAAAAAAAAATAAATAAATAAATGTACGCGAACTCCACGTGATGATTTATTCCCTGGCCAGTGGCGAAGCGATATCCCCATGCACAGAAACTCCGATCCGGCCCCGTTCACAGGAATTTTATTTCTTTTTTCTTTTATATTACAATACTTATAATAAGCTAGATTGTCGTAGGGAATGTATTTGCTGTGACTTTTGACCATTCAGCTCAATAATTGCTCTTTAGTTCGTTTTACACACCTGCTTCATGCTGAATTTGGTAAATTGGACTTTTTTACATGGAAAATGGCCAATTTCAAACAAATAGCCCACGTTTGTTGTATTAAAATTCTAATAGACTTCGGGGGGATGGCTTTAGGGTCAAAATTGCTAATTTTTCACGACTCCGTTGTCTCGCAATTCTCAGAAGAGATTGAGCACAAAGAAACCAAACCAAACACAGAAAATGAGCAGAAACCCTCGGAGTCATTTTTGAATTTTAATATATCGAACGTGGGCTATTATTGGTAACGCCCATTAACAATGCTCCGAGGGGAGGGCTCCATGTTTGATACTCTTGCCCAGGTGACGCTCGGTTAATTTGAACAGTTACAATAGGCGCTTTGATCTCGACAATATGCGGAAAGTTGCAGACTGTGATCAGTCTATGTCTGTACTTCCAGGTAGCCTCGTCAAATAGGACAAAAAAAATAAACGAGGGAAACTTACTTCCACTGTTACTGAAAGAACCGTTGCAATAAACATTGCCATCAAATGGGTTTAGCTGCAACAAACCATCGTTTGACATACTAACAGGATTCCACATTCGATAAGAGGTGTTCTCTTCAACTTCGTGAAGTTTACAAAAACGACTGAAGATGGTGCAACCTTTTTCATCCATTGTCACTTGATACACAGCGTAGCTTGACATCGCTAAACTGGTTGCAGCCAACATTGCGGCCAAAGCCAAAACCGCACGATAAACCAAACATGCCCACCACTTCCGTTTATGAAACCTGTCGCTTAGACTTGACTCACTTGAGTCCTTGTTGAAATAAAGAAAAGTCAACGTCATTTGTGCAATCAGTCGGTCAGCAACACCTTTTTATTTGGTTACTAGGTTCGTTTTTTCATATCAAACTCATTGTGACATTTGCCCTATGTCACATCGGGTGGCCTCAACTTCCGGTAAAATAGGGCTGAAAACACTCTATTTTCTGCAGAATATTGCCTTTCTTTTTCAAAGTAGGAGATCTATCACAAATGCACCACCGGTATTGAGCTAAGTGCTATCTAAGCTACTAGTGGTGAAAAACTTAGGTTATTTTGTCAAGATTTCGATTGGGCATTTCTATATTTTTCTCCGTCGGTTTGGATGTAAATTTACAAAAGCGTGACCGGTCTTGAAAGCAGAAGGTCGAGAAAAACCGGACTGGCTCGACAAAGCATGCTCGGAATAATAAATGTACACAAGAAAAAACGTGCGAGCGAGAAGGAGACACTCCTTCCAAGCGCCTACTAAGCAGGCTATAATAAATGCACCGCTAAATTCAAAGAGTTGAATTTATTTGCCGCGTTTTGATATGTAATTTGTTGAGATTTGTCAGGAGCCGATAATCGGCTCCTGGATTTGTGCAGATTTGGGTGGAGCTAAATGACTTCGAAGGTTCATCTTGCTCTCTTTCTTCTCTTCGCTTGTACCGTGACGGTTTCTCCCGGGGGGGTACTGCCACATATGGGCTATATAGGTATGTGCCGCTGTGAAGGGTATGGTTTTCAAGCAGTTTGCTCTAGGATAGGGTATATAAATCAGAGCGTTTGGGTCTAGAATAGGGTATCATTTTTTAGGAAACTGATTAGTTGGTTGAAGAGTTCATGTAGACTAGGGAAACAGCTACTCTAGGATAGGGGGGATTTGGGGAGTTTACTCTGGTATAGTGTAGCAAAATTCAGCTGAAGTAGCTCTGGTATAGGTTAAGGGTTCCAGGGTCCCAGCGGCACATCCCCACTCAGAAATTCCTAAAGTACCCCCCCTTTTCCCCCGGGCGGTTTCTGCAGCTGAAGATAATTTTCAAGGCGAAAATGGTGAGAAATTCAGCCAGCAGAACGGTCCTTCGTAAACTTACGAGATTAACAAGTAAGTAGTTTGAAGCGATGATGAATATTTTAATAGGAGCTTAATTATACTTTCAAACAGTTCGATTTCTAAATTTTCGGATATTGAATAATTCCTCGTTTCTTCCTTTTATTCCCGCAGCTCCACATTTAATTCTATACGCACCTCGGGGTCATCTTTCCTGCCGGACCACAACTTTATCTTGATGCAATGATACAATCACCGTGAAAAATGTTGCCTCTATCCTCCAGCGGACCTTTCGAGGGGAAAAACATTTTTTCCAAGCGAACGAAGGGAAAGTAATATTCCTTTCATTATCGTAATCACGCCACTCATCGTATTCGTGACTGAATCCCACGAAATGAATTTTAGCTGTTTTCGCGTCCTATCCACTTCAAATACCTCAACATCATACAAATCCCTGTCTGTTTTGCATTTTCGTTCCACTTTCTTTATCTGTTTTTGCGGAGCTGACAGAATTCTTCCACAAAACGCAGTGGAGGACATGATATTCGCTTCGGACAATAGCCCATGTTTATTTATAACATAGTAAATCGCGCGCTCTGATTGGTCAGTCAGCCACTACCATTTGCCCGTGGGTGCTCGCTAAGAAACTGAGCTAGCGCGGTAAAATTTAGGCAAATTCAGCAAGTCTCCTCTCCTGACGATAAAATACACCGATGAAATGCACAAATGAAAAGTGGAAGTTGGAGAAAACACTAAGCTGTCGTTTTGAAGGAAAAAAGAGAAAAAATCAAGCGACAAATTTGCCCTGGATGAATGAATCACTGTTTTCCTCGCGGCTAGAGTCGGCTGAAGGAAAATCGAGCGAGCGAAGATTTAAGGTACATTTTGTGTGTTTTTTATAGAAGAAACAGTCTGTTTGAAATGTAAAATTATCAATTAGCATTGTGTTATTGACTTTTTGGTCAAGCTGATGCTAAATTCAAGCAAATATTTTAGGAAACACGCTAAAATTCGAGACAGCTTTGTTGTGAAGTTTTCATAGCATCGATTAAAAATTTTGGTTTAGTTTAAACATTACGCTGGAATAGGCGAATTTCATTTGAGTACAGAAACATTTGGGTTTTCAAATAAATTTTTCAAAAAACAACTTCTCTGTGTATTATTTTGTTCCTCAGTGTTCATTCATAACAGTCGTTCAGAGAACGGTCGAAAAACAACAGCTTCAGCGCCGGCTGGGTGTCGGCGAATTTCAGTTGCAACTTTGACTTTCATAGCTGGATTTCCCCAGACAGATTTCGATACAAAGGTAGTTAATTTCTTTTTAAAATTAGTGTTACCTGTTATTCTAAAGGTTACAGTCAAATTTTCTCATTTCTACTTTACGTTTTTTCAAAAATTGCCACATAAATAAGCTTGATAATTATTTCATGTACTTAATTTTAGCTTATTTTTTAGAGTCTTTTTAGTTGGTGTTTATAGTTGCAGCTATAGTTTTCCCTCTAAGTTTTTACCCCAATATTAAGAGCAAGTAGACAGATGCCATTCAGAATAACAACGAAAAACGTTTTGCAATTTACCTGAAGACGGAGAACGGTTGATTCAACGAAAGAAAAACTCAAAGGCAAGTTTTTGAAAAACATAGAACATGATTTGTTTACGCGCGGGCAGATGGCAGCATACATGAACTCCTACCGATGACTCTACCGAAGGCAAATGGAAAGTAACGTTTTTCTCTTTTGATTATGTTATAAAAGAAATGGTAAACGTTGCAGCTGTGCAACTATGGAGTTATGGATGCACTTGGGAGGTTTGCTAAGCACTCAAGACTCTTACGCTTCTTTCGTTCTTAGCAACCTCCCGCGTGCATCCATAACTCCATGGTTGCACGCTGCACGTTTACCATTTCTTAATTGTGATGGCGAAATACAATACCTTTGAGCACGCCCTGTAGCATACACTGCATGTAATGATCACTGAAGAGCAAATGTCGTCATTTGTGGGCAATGAGTTTGATATGCAGTTGCTTTTATTCTGAACTATTAATAAAATGGAATGTTCTAGTTCTTTTCTTTCCATTTTATTCACCAGATATTGTCGATATTGTTACTTAACCATCGGACGTACAGGAGGGGTGGGGAGTGGATGCCACCCCCATAAGGTTTTCTGAGTTTTTTTTTTCCTAGAGGATAACACATTGGCACCCGACCAGTTTTCAGTAGCTGTTCCTCCATTCCTCCCGTACATTTTGAGACAAGTTCAGTGATGAGCAGTTGCTATGGTTACGAGATATGTCATAAGTAGCAGGTGGTCAAGCCATTTTTTAGTGAAAGTACATGTTTTGTCAACTTTTGCAACAATAAAAGTAACTGTTGTGGCTAAGATCATGCAAAGTGCTTATTTATTTGTTATTTTTCATGGAAAGCGCAAAAATTTACCATTTCTCGCGGTTTTAACCTGCTTTCTAATTCTTGGCCAAAAAATCCAAGACGGCGACAATTGTTGGTGACGTCATAGACCTCCAGCAGCGCCACCACACATAAAATATACCATCACATCTAGTTAAGAAGATCAAAGGCTTTCCTTCAAAGGTAAAATCGTTTCGAAATACTGCAACATATCAAAAACGCCGGAGTTTCCCCCCCCTTGTACCATGGTGGGGGTATGACTTGGCGTGTACGTCCGAGGGTTAATTTGAAAATATCACGTTTGGTCAGTAGGATTATTTGTCAAAAGGTAGGTTTATGTTTTTGTGAGAGCTTTCCCTTGTAGTTATTTGGGGATCAGTTACAAAAATGTCTTAATTTTACTTGATCTGATTATGAATGGACGAGGATATTGTCCGCCATTTTTTATACACCCTTAAAACGATGAGCTGAATGATTCTTTTTAAGGCTGTCTCAAATTAGGGGACCCAACGACATTTTTCTCTTTAATATCTGTTCGGAGAAGCAAATATTCCCTAGAATTTTCTAGTACTTAAGGGCGGCTAAAAGTTTTTAAATGATCGTTCCGCATTTATGTACAACTTTCAACGCTTATTCAATAAATTCCCTACCATTTTCTGAAGTTTAATTTTTCACATTTCACGGACCAGGTAATTAAAAGCAATGTTTCTTACAAAAAGGAAACCTAAAATTTTTGGATTCAAAAATTAAATGTGATAGAGCCAGACAGGAATCAGCAGAAAAATCCTCACTTAATAAAAGGAATACGTTGAATTGCATCTAAATTTTTTTGGGAAAGTGGTATAATTGAAGCCCTAGTAATTTCGAAAAGACTCAAGTTCTCCTCGAATGACCGAACAAGTACAAATTCATTTATAGCTTCGCTTAAAGTACATTTTTGTAGAGATCAAAAAGCCTAAAAAGTGTTTTCAATGTCTTTAGAAGGATGCCATCGTTGGGTGCCCCTAGCGCCTGTCAAATTAACTTCTTGTTCATACACAGTAATGATTAACGCCAACAGCATACCTGCGTCCTTTTGGAACTTTGGTTTGGGGCAGGGTAATCATATGGAAAATGGTGCTTACCTCCGGCAACCTCAAGTCTACCATCCTAGACATATCTTACAGCAACTCGGAGGAGAAACGTTTCGCTTTGTCGACCGCGAGCACAACTGCCTTAAACTGCTGTGAATCAATCTGTTTATAGATTTGTTTTGAACCTGATTTAACACAACATACCTTAGTTCATGAGATAACAGGCAAAAGGTCACCATTTTTTCATCACCTGTTCCCAAAGAGAGACTCTCTACTTAAGCCCAGTAGCTATTTTACCCACTGTGTCACAATTACTGCGTGGGCATCAGTGTAGGATCCTATTAACTTGGCCATTGTCAACCAAATAGTTTAATGCCTGTAGTGCAAGAACGGACAGGGTATTACACGCATTATCTCCGAAAGTAAATGCTTAATTTAGGCTTTATTAGTGGTTTTTAAATAGCAGTTTTAGACTTAGACAGTTGGCCATGTAATATCACATTTTAATACAATTAGCATGCACCAAGAATAACGGCCCGTAGATTTAGTTTCTTTTCCAGTTTTCGAAATACTCCGCTAAAGCCCAGTAAGCTCAGTCAGTCTTTAAAGGACGGATCATTCATCATATATTGTCAACAATAGGAATTGGCCCTTGCAACTTTCCTAGATCACATAATAGGATATTTCAAATAAGGCTATTATATTTGGAGAGTTTCTTAACGTCACACCGGCTACCGCTGCCAGCTGATATTACAATTAAATCCAAACAGGCCAAAGATACAGAAAACTTAAACGTGTCACGACAATTTGGATCATGACACTAGGCATCCAACCCTCATGGGCAACGCTACTGTCACTATCATTTTTACATATTTTATACAGCATCAGGGCATTCTTTGTTTTAGTCGATATAAAACCGTATCGGGACTGCTCAAACAGAACATTTTTTCCGTGCACGTACCTTACAATCGGATGACCTCACAGCTTGGCAAACTGTCGCCTTGGTAGGCCTCCAACATTCATGTTTCTCTTTGCTAACCCACTTCAGATGACTTGAGAAAGCATGTTATCTCATCAATCTTCCGCCTTGTTCTGTTATCAACATATCACGTTTGCAGATCGAGCTGTATAACGCGGTATATCGATCTGCAGTAATGAGAATCATTTTATGACCACTTTTATAGGACACTATACAGCGATGTAAAATAAAAATCTGGGCATTGATCTACTGACGAGGTACTCTACCCCAATTATGAATATTGCCCATAGCCATAATACACTTTGTTTTCCCCAAAAAGGTTGCTTATATAACCTCAAGTGCCGTAATGGGATAATGGTCATACTATGGCTCTTGATAACCTGTCTTGATTCCATACATTTCCCATAGGCGGTATTACAGACTTACCTAGGGAAACCGAAAACAATGTTCAAAAATCTTGCATTAAAATGCAAGTTTTTAGGGGAACAGATAGGGTGCATATACTGAATTGCTATGAGCAAATTGAAAGAGTGCCGAACGTGATATGTTAAAAGCACGTATACTGCGTCCCAGGATATGTCTTCAAATTAGAGGTTTCTTGAGGTTGTAGATTGATACAACAAAAGCTAAGGTGTTGCTTTTGATGAAATGAGGGATCGAGTGATTTTTCCTACTTGGTAGAAAAATGCATTAACCGATGGGTCCTCTTTTAAAGAATAGGAAGTTTATCTATTTTAAAGTTCTTAGTTTTGTGGCGTGCCCCCAAAATTAGAGAGCTCAGACCACGGGATGGATCAGAGATTGATAAACCAGCAATATAGTTCGAAAGGAAAAATATTACAACCAAGCGTTAATCCCTATATAGTTTTACTAATTTTTAATGCTAAAATATCTGTGCGTTTATGTTTCCACTTAAGGTTTTAGGGGAAAATTTCCATAATTCTAATCTGTCCAATGGAGCCTGAACTTTTTTTTTGCCATTGTCAAATTCCCAAATTTCAAGTTGATAGATTAATATAGATATCTATAATAATAGATAATTAGATACTTAGATATCTTCAGTTGATATTTTACAGTTTAGCTTTTTTGCAGTACGCTTAATTTTCCATTCCATTTTCATCTTATAGCCATGGCTGACCGCCTAATCCACTGGAAAACTTGAACCATTTATAGGCTTAACTGCGGAAAAGTCAGTAAAATCCTATATCTTCCTTATAAATTACAATATCTATAAACGTGCACACTTACACTATACAGCCTATTAAGCCTATAAAGCCTATACAATATCTGTAGATTAGATATGTTACCCGACCAGATCGCATATAACGTCTGTGAGATCTCAATGTTTTCCTTGTAAAATTCAGTCAAAGTTTACAGTGATTTTATAACGTATCTAAAATAACCTTTTAAAATGTGAATATAATCTTTGTAAAATACTCAAGGAACAAAAAACTCAGTAAATAGGTGGTATAAAATGTCAATAAAATCTTCGTAAAAATTGAACCAGAATAACTGCAGAAAATGTCACTGAAATGTGCCAAATAAAATACTTATGATATCTATAAAAAGTGAAAAGAATGTTTGTCAAATATACTAGGAGAACTACATGGAATGTGCTGAATGTGGGCAAAATGTTAATATTCTCTCTGTATTAAGAGAGCTAGAAAAGGAAAACAAGAAGGACACAAATTCCCAACAGAATGTATAAGCAAACTAAACAAAATGTTTGTAAATGTCCATAAACAAAGTACACATTCACGGTTTTTTTTAGTTGTCTGTCTACAGTAGAATATAAAATAATTGTTGTTCTTTGTACTTAATTCAATGTATAAGGTTCGGCTTATGAAAAGTTCTGAACTGGCCCTTACACAACGGATTTTCAGCGCTACAAGGCGTTCCAACATTTTTGCGGGTTTTTTTGAAGTAATGCAGTTTAAATCAAATATGCTGCAATATGGTTTTCATCTAAAGCCTGAAACCGTCGTCGCTGCGAATGACGTCTCTTGTAACTGATCACCTTTGAAACAGGGACATTCAACGACCGAATGTTTCCAAATACGCCAAAAGTGTCTCAAATGGTTTTCTTAGTGCTTCAGAAGCCTGTTTGCTTAATTTGGAGTTTCCCTTAAAAACTATTTATCTGTTCGGATGTCTTAGGGGAACTTAAGTTGTCACGAAAGTCTTAGTTGGCTTTTTCGGAAAGGAGGACGAAAGCGAGATCAAGAGACTGTTTTTATCGTCGACACCTGGGCGACGAAGTTTCTCGCTTGAAGTTACCGAGGGTCCTAAAAGGACTGGAATATCATGCCACTTATAGGCGGTGTATAGACGGAAGTAGGAACAACTGCAATGGCAAACCCATCAACATCCACGCAGTAAACTGAGCCCTATACCCACACAAGGGAGTACAGCTGTGCATCCAGCCATACTCTGTTAGTGTTTTTTCAATAGGAAAAAACACTAACAAAAAACGCTTGAGAGAACTGGCATCTCTCCAAAGTCCAAACAAAGTTTATTGTTTTTGATATATTTAGATATATTTGCTAATGGATTTAGCAAAAAAAGGGTTACAAGGCCTAATTGGAGGAAATTGTGGCATATTGCCTCTATTCAAAGCCCCAGTTGGCCACCAGGAGGTTTAATCGTTTTTATCAGAAGAGGGATGGGATCGCAGTGCAATAAAGAAAACTTGTTCGATTCAGTGAAAAGCCAAATAACTACCTACTGGCTAAATTTTGCAATGGTCAAACTATTTATACGTTCTACAAGCTTGACGGGCGCTGAGGGTGTTGCTAGCGAAATGTGACGTGCCCATGGGGTTAATAATGATATTTAGCACCGTGACGTTTAAGGCCCATGTTCACTCAAGCGGCTTTGCGCGCGTCTGTTTTTATTTTTGAAACGCTTTTTTTGTCAAATTCAGTATTTTGATTAGGCAGAGTGTTCGCTTTTTTTTTCACTGACGCTTGGCCGAAGCGTGACTCTACACACACTGTAGACGGCAATTTTCAACTACGCGAAATCATTTTTCTGGAGTACAGGGCGCGCAAAGCCGCTAGGGTGAACATGGGCTTTTAAATAGTTCGAAACTGAGATACCAGCTGGGACATTTTTATTCTAATGAAAATTAGCTGACTGTCTTCAAAGATGTTTTCGAAAGGGCTTGAAAAATCATAGTACTTTCACATTTTAAAAAATTAAAACATTGGTTGTGAAGAAGAATGATTGCTTTGAAACATTGTTTATTTTTTGGGGTCAAGTAATTCAACTTCGAGACTTCGGAGGAGCTTTGCCCAATAGATATTTGATCAAGCGTAAAACCGCACTTTGGAAGCAGTTTGACCGCATTTTTAGTTTTTCGCCTATTTCAGAAATAAAAAATGTCGCTGAAATGTTCGAATATGATTTTTGAAAAAAGTTTACCCGAGGGTATCTTGGGAAAAAATATCAGGGTTTCGCCAAATGGGTCGCTGATTGCCGATTCTCGATCCTTGCAGGCAGCCACTCTTAATTATTTAAAGTAAAATTACTTGACTTCGTTAATCTAATATATAGATTTAGCCAGGGCTAAAAGCAAAGCTCCTAATAATAAATTTATAATTTAAATCAAACAATAAACTTGTAATCCACAAATTAGTTAACTCAAGGGCACATTCATGTGACTTGTGAAGTTATTTTAGAGTGAAACATCTTACATCGAGTTGATAGCCTTATATGTACACCCAAAAAATAGCACTCATCTTCGATCGCATTCAAAAAACAATCTGGAGGTGTATAAACCAAAAACCTTTTATACTTTTTATACATCACATCTGAGGTGAAACAGTACTATTTAACATACAGACCTGGGACAGAATACGGTATTTCACAATTTTTCAAGCGGAAAAATTGAATTCAGACAATATTCAGGACGATCAATCGTGGGCTTTTAGCGAAACCGTTCAAAAAATTTCCAAAATCGGCCATAATCACCTTTACGGATTAGCCCTTTGTTGCTGTCGACTAGACTTAGATTACAATACGATTGTTTGGAATACAAAGTTCTACCATCCTACAAACTTTGGGATGAAACGGATAAAAACTCAGTGTAAAAGTAGTTCCTTCG